GGGAATTTGCTGAAAAGATTCATAGCAATCTCTTGAAACCAGCACATGTTGCAGAAGACTGTGTACCTTGTCCTGAGGCCGTATTCCTCCTCTTTCCACCATTATCATCCAATTCACTATTGTCTCTGTGTCTCAAACCAGATTACCAGGAGGGAATATCTGATTGGCTCATCATGTGTCAAGTGGCTAGCCCTGGTCCAATAAGCTGCATCCAGGAACCAGGTTCACATGAGACAAAGGTGGCATTGGATCTTCTTCCTATAGGCAGGGTGAACGGTTCTTTAAAATGGGAGTCATGGGTTAAGCCAAGATCCCAAAAATGTCTTCCTTGCTACACACAGAGATGTTAAGATTACATGAAAAAATATATTGAGATCACATAGGACGATTAGGTGAAGCATCTTAGCAGAGTTTTGCTAATAAAGAATAGTCTCTCATTGCATGTCCTAGAATCACATTCTAGGTCATAATCTTTGGGTGGAAGGTCCTGACCCATGAGCCAGGCTGCCTTAACTGTTCAGAGGTTCTGTTTGTACTTAGACTCAGGTTTGTAAGCAATATCCCTAAGCAGAACAAGGCAATAAATAGCTTTGTGGTCACCCGTGTTTCACTGAAATAGATGTGAGAGGGATGCTGTCCTCCCTTCTTCTGGTCTCTAGCCACAGCTGCCCTCTAAGTGTCCACCCTGTTGTGTGCCCTGCAAGAACTTTGGCATTTGCTGAAAGGTCACCAGCTGCAATTTCAGATCATGTGGGTAATTCGAACTTCTAGCATCTAAATGTAGCTGCAAATGGTCTACAATTGCTGCACTTGCTGTCAGCCTGGGTTCAGTGGTGGCAGGAACAGCAAACCCTCAGCCCTTTTATGGGAAGCTGACTGCTTATAAATGTCACTAGTCAACACGTCCTTCTCCTGCTTGCGAAATTATCTAGTCTTTCACTCATTCTTAACATCCTCAGAGCGTCCCACTGCCTGTGCTAAAGCACTGGTTTTTGTTTCTGTTTTCATTTCAATCTGTTGTGAACAGATGCTTTTGTGAAATAGAATGAAAAAAAAAAAAAAACTGGAAAAAGGAAATTAGAAAAAACACACACAAATTACATACAAAATAAAAGCCCCAATTGTTCCGTCTTAGATTTTAATTTCATTTCAGTTTAAATTATATATTATTATTAAATTTTAATAAAAATAATCAGAACACATGTGCCAAAGGAAAATTGTTATAAAACATACAAACAAATAAAAAACCAGAAACAAACCCGTTGCCATCAAGTCAGTTCTGACTCACGGCACCACCATGTGACAGAGTAGAGAACTGCTCCATCAGGTTTTCTTGGAGGGGTCGCTATGAGTCGGGTCCGACGTGATGGACATAACAACAACAGCAACAATCTTTATGAGCACGGATCACCAGACCTTTCTTCTATGGGGCTATTGGGTGGGTTTGACTGCCAACTATTAAATTAGTAACGAAGCACAAATTGTTTGTGCCACCTGGGAAAACTGGTACAGAAATTTCTAAATATCCTTAATTAATTAATTTCTTCTTCTTCTTCTTTTTTATTTTTTTTTAAAATATCTTTAATTTCTGTACATATCTCATCCTAGACCCATAACATCTTGTGGCTTGTCCATGATCTACTTTGTATGTTTTTTACAGGTAAAAGATTTTTTTAAAAACATGCACAATACTATCAATACATATTAATATATACATAGTATATTTGCCTAACAATCAGGATACAGAATAGTTCCATCATGCAGAAAACCTCCCTCATCTCCAATATGCAACAAGTGTTGAACTGTTCTCTGTTGCTATAATTTTGTCTCTTTGAGGATATCACATAAATGGAGTCAAACATTAGTTAGACTTTTGAGATTGTTTCCTTTCATTCAGAGTAGTGCCATTATGATTCATCTGAGTAGCTACATATAACAGTAATTCATTCCTTTTTATTGCTGAATAGTATTCCATTGTATGTAGGTAACACAATTTATTTACCCATTCACCAGTTAAAGGGGATTGGGTTGTTTGCAATTTCTGACAATTATAGATAGAACAGCATAAATATTTGTGCATGGATTTTGGTCAGAATGTAAATTTTCCTTTCTCTAGAGTAGGAGAGATAGTCTACATTGAGTGGGGTTGCTGTACACCATCATGGAAGGAACTCTCTCAGTCAGATGACAATGTTAGACCTGAAAGGAAACTTAGATACCAATCAACCAGCCCGCTCTTTCCATCTTGCAGTCACTTACTGGCCCATGCTCCTAATATCCAACCACTTGCTCTTTCTACAATTATGTAAGAAGAATCGTTGTTGGCTTCCCCATGTCAAAACCAAAACTTAATTGTTTGTAAATGACCAAAGGACAAGTCAGAGTCAAAGAAAATTCCATTGTATCATCCTCAAACTTCACAGAAGCTTTCTGAAAGGAAAAAGAGAATTTTCCTGTTTAGATCGTGATGACACCAAAATTTAACAGGCAGATACCTTCAGGCATAGTAGTTCCTCTTCTAGAGAGATATCTTGCACAAGATAAGGATGGTTCTTGCATCATTGTTTAAGGAGAAACATTTTCCAAAATAATCTAAATGTCTACGGATTGGAATATATTAAAAGAATGCAGAAAGTCTCTATGTGATAACATGGATTTATTCCCAAAATATTTTGCTATGGCAGATACTTTGAATTGGTTGACCCAATACCAGTGCCCAACTCTTGTAGCAAGGGGTCACCATATCACATGAATCTGGCTGATACTATACTAATACAGGGTTCCAATGAAAATTTTCTTTCTTAATAAAAGGAAACTGATATGGAGGAATCCCTGGGTGATGCAGATGGTTAAGCACCAACTACTAACCAAAAGGTTGGTGGTTCAAAGCCACTGAGAGGCACCTCAGAAGAAAGGCCTGGCAATATGGTTCCAAAAGGTCATAGCTTAGCAAACGAATCAGAAGCAACTTGATTGACAACCAGTTTTTTGTTTTTTTATTTTATTTTAAATGTGAGGGGAGTGGGAGCTACCCTTTCTCCCTTCTTTGGGGCTTCAATGTGGACTAGATGTTTGGAACTGTGGTGGTTATCTTGTGCCCATGAGATGACAGGTATGAGGGCAAAACCCAGCAGATCAAGGATCACAGAGTGGTCCTGGATGGAACCTTTGAATAGCTGAGTAAGTGGCAGCAAGCACCTCCCACTGAACTTCATGGTCTATGGGGAAAAAAAAAATACCCCTTAAACAGGCCCCCATATATTTAAATCAGGAGTTCTGGTGGCATAGTGCCTAAGGCATTTGACTGCTAATCAGAAGGCTGGCGGTTCAAACCCACCAGCCACTCCCCAGAAGGAAGGTTGGGCAATCTACTTCCGAAGTGATACTGCCTCGGAAACCCAAGGAGGAGTCACAATGAGTCGATCCAACTCGACGGCAATGAGTTGAGTGAGAGTTATATTTAAATCACTGAATTTTCTATTGTTTGCAGCTAAACATATTTCTGACTGAAGTAACTGTCAAGAGGAAAAAGAAAATTGCAGTGTAATGTGCATATTCTAGTATTTTTGTAAAATGGAATTACATATGTATACATAATTGTTACACATACATCAAGGAATTTGGAAGGATGGTAGCAACTAAGATGTGGTGAACAACTACTAAGTGCCAGGCACAGTCTTGTCACTTTTAACCTTCACAATCACTCTATAAGGTGATTCTATTGTTTTCCTATTTATAAGTGAAAGTGCCGCAGTGGTTAAGCACTCAGCTGCTAACCAAAAGCTGTTGTTGTTGTTGTTATGTGCCGTCGAGTCAGCCCTGACTCATAGCGACCCCTTGTTGGGTTTCCGAGGCAGTATCACTACGGAAGTAGGATTGCCCAACCTTCCTTCCGAGGAGTGGCTGGTGGGTTTGAACCACCAGCCTTCTGGTTAGCAGTCAAGTGCCTTAGCCACTATGCTACCAGAGCTCCTAGTTGCTAGGTACTCCAAACTCACCAGGTGCTCCATGGGAAAAAGATGTGGCAGTCTGCTTCCATAAAGAAGTGCAGCCTTGGATACCCAGTGGGACAGTTCTACTCTGCCCTTTAGGGTCATTAGGAATCGGAACCAAATTGCTGGCAGTGGGATTTACAAGTGAGGAAACTGAGGCTTTGAGGGGTTTATTAACTTTCCAAAATCATTCTGCTTGGGATTCAGGGATGATTCAAATGGGACTCAGAGTCAGGTCTACCTGCCACCAGAGAGTATCTGGACCACCATCTGCAGACCCCCACCAGGGTTTATTAGCAATACTGAGCCCCCACCGGCTCAAATAGAAGTTGTTTCTAGTGAGTGGCAGGTAGACCAGCTGGTGGTGAGGACATTTACTTTTTCACTATATACTTCTGCAGTGTTATTTTTATTGTTGTTGTTTATTTTAATAAATCAGCAAGTACCTTTGTTAAAAGAGTGAAAATGTCAAGAAATTGAGAACACAATAGTGGTGCAGTGATAAGAATAAAATTGTTTTCTTCTAGATTTGGAGATCTATTATGAAAGTGATACTGCTGTTTGGAAAAACAAGCCTCCTTTTAAACTTATTCAAAAGAGCTCTTGACGAGAGATCCCAGGATTACCATTATTTTACTATGTGACCTATGCCCCAGATAAGTTATTTGCTGAGTCTGCCACCTGTAACCAAGGCGGGTAGGTTCTGCAGTAGAACATGGGAATAATCTTTTTGAGTCTTTGAAGATTCAAAAATCAAATCAAAGATTTTCTTGCTTTTCCTCGATGAATTGGCTTTCTTATCTCCCACCTCTCAACATGGTTCCTCTCAGAATCTTCTGAGAGAAAGTAGATCTCCAACTCTAGGCAGAGCAGTTCTATTTACAGCTTGCTTAGGGAGTCTTGGCAGCCTCCACCATCAGAGATGCCAGAGATTTCCTTGAGGGATTGTCCAGTTATTTCAGCCACGTGGGTTGGGGTGTTTTTTCTTAACAGACCTCGCATGGCTAGCACGGGTTTCTCCTCAGCTTTAATACCGCGGAGCCACAACCCTTAGAGATAAACAAGGTTTCCTGCAGGGATCACAGATTTGGGAAACTACCTGCCACAATGACGGACAGAAGCCCTTTTGAGACCGACATGCTCACCCTGACCCGCTATGTGATGGAAAAGGGGCGTCAGGCCAAAGGTACGGGGGAGCTCACCCAGCTGCTCAACTCCATGCTGACAGCCATCAAGGCCATCTCCTCGGCAGTGCGGAAGGCAGGCTTGGCTAACCTGTGAGTCCTGGGGTGGGAGGGGGTAGTGGGAACTTCAGGATGTGGCCCTCCAGGTGGAGTGTGGTATATACTCCAGGTACTTAGGCAAGAAACTGGAGCAAAAGCATATTTGCCTAAAATGTTTTGTTACATATATATAGTCAGCACACACACACACACACACACACACAAATCTAGGTAGTGAACAAACATGATCAGTGTACTAGTCTGTCAAATGTTCTGTATGCTTACAATTTTTCATAATAAAAAGTTGGGCTGGGGGGAAGCATATTTGCCTAATTGGTAAAATTGTGCCATTGAGGGAAGCTGCATTTGAAATTTCTGTCATGTCAGATTTCATAAAGGGGACTTTGACTTATTTCAAGAAAAAAACAAACTACTTCAAGACTTGCTGTAGAGAAGAACTAGATGGTGCCTGGCTACTACTGTCAACCAGTGCAGGAGAAGGATCAGTGCAGGAGATCCTGGATAGAGTGGGAGAACAATATGGAACAAAACTCAAAATCATAAAGGAAAAAAAAAATGACAAGGTTTACTGGTCTGATATGTCCGGTGAGACCCTGAGACTAAGGGTCCTAGTTACCCTTCAGAGTTGGAACTGAACTCTCCCTCGTGGCATCCAGCCAAACACCCCAAATATGGGGTAAACATTTACATCAGGTAGATACACTCCTTGGAGTGATCAATCATGGGAAAATGGAAGGGCAGTGTTTGCCCTGGGAGGTAGCTGGAGGTTGGGGTGGGGTAGGAATGGGAGTGCCTGGGAGGGAAGGACAGAGTGAAGAGATAACTATGGGGAGGAAGTGGGAAGAGAGCTGTTATGCTGTGGGGAATTGCAGTAAATATCGTGAAACAAAATGTGTATGGACTGCTGTATGGAAAATGAATTTGCTCTGTAAAGTTTCACCCAAGTCACAATTTTAAAAAAAGGCTTGCTATAGACACAAATGGTATGTAATTTTTCCAGTTATCATGGAGCGTTATGTTTATAAGCTCAGTGACTTGTTACATTAAATAACATAATGAATTATCATGACCTGTATTTGCACAGAGAAACAGCGAGGGGTGTTGAGGCTTCTTTTTATGTTCTTTGCAGGTATGAGCATTTAATTTGAACAGACTTTGCCCATATGTTAACCACCAGCTGCCACTGAGTCGATTCCAACTCATGGTGATTCCACGTGTGTCACAGTAGAACTTGGTTCCATTGAGTTTTCAATGGCTACTTTTTCTAAAGTAGATCTCCAGGCCTTTCTTCCCAGGTGGACTCAGATCTCCATCCTCAGGGTTCACAGCAGAATACCTTAAGTGTTTGTCCCACCCAGAGACTCCACCAACACTTTTGGGGCAAGGAATCATTCAGAAAATAGATAACTTCGCAGGGTCGGGTCCGAAATCTCCTTTTCATTCTTGAAAGGAGTCTTTTGCCAGCTACACGTTTCATGTGAGACTCTGTGAGTCTTTCTTCTTCTTCTTTTCCGCTTTGTGTCTAGGAAGGTGGGGGGCACTTAGGGAGAGGAAGAGGGAATTTACAGCAGAGCATTCTTCCACTTTGTTTTCTTCTACACTTTGCCCACACACAGAATAAGGCAGAGTACACGCTACTGCTGCAGAATGTCACAGTTCCGTGTTCAGTTTAAGTCTGTGATCAAAAGGAAAAACCAACAAGAACCAAACTCACTGCCATCTAGTCGACTCCAACTCATAGCCATCCTCAGAAGGAAGACTGGGCAATCTCCTCCCACAGAGATACTGCCTCAGAAACCCAAGGAGCGGTTGCTATGGGTCAGATTCTACCGAAGGGCAGTGAATTTGGTTTTATCTCTACGGAAGTAGATTGTCCAATCTTCCTTCTGAGGAGTGGCTGGTGGGTTTGAACCGCCAGCCTTCTGTTTAGCAGTCAAATGCCTTAGGCACTATGCCACCAGAACTCCTGATCAAAAGGAAACAGTCTCAATAAAAAGAGCAGCAGTTGCTGGGGATGCAGGCGGAAAAGCGAGGGATTCGTAGGTAGTAGAACAATGCATTTTGAGGTCAGTGAAATTATCCCGTATGATCCTGCCATGGAGGACATGATGCATTTGTCAACAGTAATATACAGCACAGAGTGAACCCTAATGTAAACTATGGATTATAGTTAATAATAATATATCAGTATTGGTTTATCAATTGTCACAAACACACACCAATGTAAGACGTTAGTAACAAGGGGAACTGTGGGTGGGAGGAGGGATACTGTGCTTTCTACACAGTTTTTCTGTAAACTTAAAACTACTCTTAAAAAAAAAAAGTCTGTTTTTGAAAGATTACTTAGCAAGGAAGGAAGGAAGGCATGAAGGAAGGAAGAAAGAAGAGAGGGAAGGAGGGAGGAAGGGAAGAAGGAAGGACAGAAAAGAGTCTACACTGGGCTTTTCGTGTTCTTTGTCGTTATCCAGTAGAGGTTCTCTCAGAAGTTGGAGGGATTCACTTTTTTTTTACCCCAAAATGCAGAAATAACAAAATCCAATAAATTAAAATATTTTTCTTAACTAAGTAGTGCTCTTAATACCAAAAAGGACTAGCATTATACCACAAAATAGAACTATCACAAGAATATTATAGACTTTATGCATCTAGGTTTTGTGATCCAGTAATGGATCCCAAGTTAAAGATGTGTTATGACTGGGTTTATCCCCCTCAGTGCATCCCATCAGCTGTATGTATTGCCTTCCTGGGCAACAGTATCCAAAGTCCACATTTAAGGACCTTAATGAATGTTGAGGAGCTCTGGTAGCATAGTGGCTAAAGCACTTGATTGCTAACCAGAAGGCCGGTGGTTCAAACCCACCAGACACTCCTTGGAAGGAAGGTTGGGCAATCCTATTTCCGTAGTGATACTGCCTCGGAAACCCAAGGAGGGGTCGCTATGAGTTGGGGCCGACTGGACGGCACATAACAACAACAACAATGAATGTTGGGTCCAGCTTTCCCTGCTTCTACCAGGCTGACTGGGTTTTGACACCGAAGACTGGCTTTGCTTATTTGCTTGATGCTATTTCCTTCGTGGCCCTGCTGCTTGCTGACACCTCATAGCATTGCTTACCCACCTTCTGCTCCATGCAGGACACTAGCTAGGCCAGGCTGTGGCGCTGTGATGGGGTTGTTATTAATCAGCTGCAAAAATCTCACTTTGTGGCAGTTAATTATGAAGTGGATTTGGGAATTAAAAAATTAAGGTGCTTATCTAACTTCATTTTTACTACCCTTGGATCATGGGCAAGGATTCACTCTCTAGGACCTGAGTTTCTTCATTTGTAACATGGGAAAGGTATTATTAGATCCTCATGACAACAACAACTCTTAGTGTTGTTAAGAATTAGGAAGTCCATGTGGTAACTATTTCAACACTGTAGGCCCCATAATAAATCTCAGCAAATGCTAGATATTACCAAGATTCCAGGAATTCTTGGGTAGTAGAAATGGTTAATGAGCAACACCAGAAATGTTGGAGGTTGGAGCCCACCAAGAGGCTTTTCGGAAGATAGGCTTGGCCATCTGTTTCTGAAAAATCATCCATTGAGAACTCTATGGAGCACACATGGAGTCGCCACGAGTGGGAATCCACTCCACTCCACGGCAACTGTTTTTTTTTTTTTTTTAAATACCATGATGTCAGCCAAGTTCATACCTGGGGAAATTTGCAGGCTCCTTCAGATCAACCACTAGGTGGCAGGCTCAGCCTGTGGAAACAAGATAACAGGATTCCTATTTTTTTGTTCATCTAAGTTGAGAGTTTGGTAGGGGAACCACATTCTGCCAATTCAGATGGCATCCTTCCTGACTTCTGTAACAGACACCAACAGTGGCAGCAGGGGAAGTACCGTTGTTTGGGAAGTCCTTCTTACTAACAAAATACTCAGATTATTTTAAAAGGCCCCTGGAATCTCTTCTCAGAGAGTTAAAAGTTTGCCCCTTACCCTTATGCTTCTAAGAGTGAAATTTCCACATATTCCTGTCACAGGTTTCATAAACATGATTTTAAAATTATCAGAAATTCTCCTCTGCTTCTTATTTACTTCTCCTGACTGTGAGAGGAGCTTTGGTGGCTTAGTGCCTAAGGCATTTGACTGCTAACCAGAAGGCTGGCAGTTCAAACCCACCAGCCACTCCTTGGAAGGAAGGTTGGGCAATCTACTTCCATAGTGATACCTTCTAGGAAACCCAAGGGGGGTTGCTATGAATTGGATCGAATTCTATGGCAGTGCTTTTGGTTGTTTTTTTTTTTTTACTGTGAGAAGACAGAAATGCTATAGTGATTGCTCTTGGAAGCTTCTCCATGGCTCATTAATGCCAAAATGGTCATAAAGTCCATTTTGAATTCTTCAGTAAATACTTTCATGCTGGTTAAAATGCTAACACTATTGTCCTATAGAAAACATCATTTTATCTTTGCCACCATTCGTCTGTCAGTTTGTCGTACTGTGGTGGCTTGCAGGCTGCTGTGAGGCTGGAGGCTATGCCACTGGTATTTCAAATACCGCGGGGTCACCACTGTGCACACGTTTCAGCAGAGCTTCCAGACTGGGAAGAAGGACAGGGCTATTGACTTTGGAAAACTTGGCCACTGAAAATCTTATGAATAGCAGTGAAACATTGTTTGATACATTACTGAAAAATAGAAGAGGACATGGAATGAGGGTTATCATTGCTGATGTCAGATGAATCCTGGCTGAAAGAAAAGAATACCAAAAAGATGTTTACCTGTGTTTTATTGACTATGCAAGGGCATTAGACTGTGTTGTTCTTGTTATGTGCTGTTGAGTCTGACCAGACTCATAGCAACCCCTCCTTGGGTTTCTGAGGCAGTATCACTACAGAAGTAGATTGCCCAACCTTCCTTCTAAGGAGTGGCTGGTGGGTTTGAACGGCCAGCCTCCTGGTTAGCAGTCAAGTGCCTTAGGCACTATGCTACCAGAGCTCCCATTAGACTGCGTAGATCATTACAAATTATGGATAACATT